TATATAAAAAGGCGTGCTATTGACCCAATAGAAAATATCTCATGTCAAATATAATGCCAATAGTTCTGTGAAAAACATCTTTCTCTCTCTCTCTCTCTCGTGCATCGCGAAGGTAGCAAACAATAGACACAGAAAGAGGATCGGAAAACTCTCTCTGATGGTGGAAGAATAAACCGGAAAAACCTTGGCCCAGATTTTTCTCTGTGGTGTTTAATTTGGGGCATCCTCTGACATTCGGGCCTTCCCTCTATCTTCATTAGTACATTATGTTCGGTGTCTTTATAGATTAACTCTATCCGTATGCCTGGGGTCATTTTGTACCCCAGGCGCTGCATTCTTCATATTTTAGAATACTTCTAGTGCGAAGATCTCTTTGAAACTTTCAGTATTTCTCAAAAAATCATTTTGACAGACTGCTATGCAAAGCGTACAGAATGAATTTAGGAGTAAATCTTCTCTTTGGAAAGTGGTGGCACAGAGTTCCCCACGTCGTATGGATACGATAGTAAAACACGACGTATGGATAGGGTTAAGAGATTTTCTTAACGTGATTCAGCTTTGCCTGAGCAATATACGTCCTGAAGGAAGCAGATCGACTGCCCAAGTACAACTTTTCCCCCTTCCAATCTTGACTTCCTTGATTTGCTCCAATTTCAAGGAGAGATCACATTGCCAGTAAGTTTGGAACCAAGGAAGGTGTTGGGACGTGCTGTACTTTTTCATGAGTGTCATAGTCCTATCTATTGTGGTATGGAAATTCTGAACTTTGAATTCTTCATTTTTCTACATTATTATAACTGGTACGTATTTCAAGTATTCACCATGCACTTTACTGATTTATTAATTTTTCAAACCACTCCATACTGCAAGAGATCATTCTTTAATAAAAATATTTCAGCTATGAGCAATCACAGGTTATACCCTCTTTGTAATTGTCAACACTTTGTGCAAAAATATCATCTCAGCGCAGAAAGTACTTACTATAACGCCAAGACCATAACAATAATCAAGACATACAGTATGTGAGTCATATAAAATAACATAAAATAAAAAGTCAGCAGATTCCAATTGTAGGCCAGCTGTCCAAATGGCTTACGCCCAAGAGGAAAAATTTGTCACGAAAGAGAAGAGAAAACAAACCTGTTTCACTCTTTTAAGTTTTGTACCAGACCGCGTATCCTATCGTTTATGGCTTTTTTTCAACGTTTAGTATTTGAATTTCAACAAAATATTTCTCGGGGGCTCTCGTGGCCTAGAGGTTAAGGTGTTGACCTCTCATTCAAAGTTCAATGTGTCTCATATGACCTTATGCAGTTGCGAGAGCCTTAAAACACTTACCCCCCCAAAAAAAAATTCTCGAGCAATCAGTTCCACAGATTAAATATGAAACTGTATTTCTAAAGATAAAAAAATTTTGGCTTATTACATTTGGACATCTTACTGCTGATATAATTCCTTCATCAATAAGAAAATTTAATCACAGCACTATTCAGGGAGCCAAAAACATCAACAAATTGAGCAAACTCACAGAAACAAGCAGGTCAGCGTCATTCTACAAGTACCCAAATCAATCTCTAGTGGCTTCCAGATAATGCCATTATTTTCATAAAAAGAAATCAGGGGGTATCTTAATTACAATATATACACAGTATAACCTGCTCAACTGGCCACCGGTATAAGACAATCACCTGTACAAATGGCCACTTGTGTAAGACAATCACCTGTACAAATGGCCACTTGTGTAAGACAATCACCTGTACGAACGGTCACCTGTATAAGACAATCACCTGTACGAACGGTCACCTGTATAAGACAATCACCTGTTCAAACGGCCACCTGTGTAAGACAATCACCTGTACAAATGTCCACTTCCCATTTCTCCCTTTTGAATGTTTCATTTACCAAGCACTGGCACTTTGCTCCTCGACAAAAGGTGGCCATCTTTGAGAACTTTGACCTTAGTTCTGTTCTGGTTCATTATTTCCTCCCCAGTTTATAATATGAAAAAAAACAACCCAACAAAAGCAAACCCCAAATGCCAAAGACAGAGCTCTGCTGATTAGGGCACTCTCTTTTTTTCTTTCATTTTCTTAAAACTTAAAACAGCTCCAATTACTTGGGCGCTTGTAAAATAATGCTGACAAAATATCACATGAAAAAAGGAGACCATACAGTGCATTTCATAATAACCTGTGCTATAAACATGTTTAAACCTGCATGAAAAAGGAACAACATAGCCACAGCAAACTCACGACAAGGAATATTTACTCTTCGCCTGGGAAATAATCAATAATGCTTTCCACGGTCTACCATCCACTGTTCACTGACAGGGTTCATACACACATACACACATGCACGAACGCATGCACACACGCATGCACACGCACACACACACACACACATACATACATATATACATACATACATACATACATACATACATGAAACATACATACATACATACTGCACTGCAAACTTTGGAGGTTTCCAAGAGAATTCCCCATCCTACCTTTCACCAACATCCCCAAAGTCATGTAACCAGCCAGTATCTTACATCATATGATACTTGTATCTTACATCATATGATACCTTCTCAAGTATCTTAGAATCATTGAAATGCAAGCACTTTTTTCATTGATGAGGGGGCAAAGCAGAAGAGTTGATGTACATGTATAAATCAACAGAGTGATTCTCTTACGGTGTAACTGAAAGAAATAGAACAACTTTTTAAAAAATTCAAAACCCCTGCTGAGGTTGATCTGCGGGTTTTCAATAAAGATCTTGGGTCTGCATGCACTACTTATAGATTGAAGGGTTTTTTTAGGGGATTTTTTGCACACTGAAATTTTTTCAAACAAAACTAGTAACATAGTTAAAACTTAACACCATCAATGATTACATAGTAATATTGCAATAACATATTATTGACTGATCAGCATAAGATTCTGTCTACATCCCTTCGCCAAATGGCATAATATGTTGGAGTCTTCATACACGAAACAGTGGATGGAATATAACGGATAAATCTTCTGTTATCATTCATGACTGGACAGGCCTACGCTTGTATTCTTTTACCCAACTGCACTGGCAAGGATTGGAGAGAGGACACGTCTTGAGTGGAGGTACTTGTGATTTGGCACAGATTTTGACGTCATTAATGGCTCCAAAATCTTGAGGGCTTTCCGGGACTCCCTGAGGAATAATAGATCACAGTACAAGTAGATCTAGTAAAGTCAGTACATGTCAGTCACCATTGTATGGAAGGCAAACAAACTTTTTCATATACATTAAAATAATATATACTAGTATATAATTATATGTATGTAATTATATGTATATAATACTAATATTTACTAATATAAAATATGCTAGTCACCATTGTATTGCAGTATGAAAAACAAACTAACTTTTTCACATACATTAAAGTATGTCAAGCGAGCTGACAAAATGAATAACTTCTCAGATTCAAACCTTATGGAAATAGATACATCACGCTTATATGTGAAGTTTTTACAATTTATTATAAGTATGAAATAATAAAAGACAGGTTATAGTTAAAGAACATGGCATCAATAGAAAATAACAGATTTGACCCTAGTGTTGATTTTTGGCCAATATCTTCTTTTCTGGATTAAGAGAAGTAACTCATTTTGTCAGCACGCCTCACAAATAATATACTAGTCACCATTGTATCACTGTATGAAAAACAAACTAACTTTTTTGCATATATTAAAATATAATATACAGTCACCATCGTATCATTTTAAAAAAAAAAAAACTTTTTTATTTATATAAAAATACATGTTCGCCACCATTGTATAACTGTACGAAAAACAAACAAGTGTTTTCCCGTACATTAAAATACATGTCATAAACACTTCTAAAAAAGCATTTGTACACTTTTACTTAGAATAAAAGAGGTACATAATACACGTTTTAAGTATATTATACTCAGAGATCCATAACAATTATTTATGGTATTTCTACAAGAACAGTTGACTTTTTATGCCAGTATCAAAAGATCTCACTCGGATAACTTTGAAAAGCCTAACTAATTTCAGATTTGCTTTTGCATTAGACACGCTGTATTTCTGTCATCCACCCCCCCCCCAACCACCCCTTAAATTAAATAGCATGAAAATTTAAGCAATGTAAGGTGGCAATATCAACTCTTTATCTCCGGCAAGCTGCTCCCAGTGACTCGGGATCGGAACCACAGTGTCGGTGAGTTGCTGACAGCAGCTCGGACACATTCCTTTACGAACGACGACTTCAACATCAAATTACTTTTTGGCAATTGCCAAAAAACAGGTCTCTCATGCCGGAAGTTCATTCATTAGATGAAGAACTATCAAAATAGGTTTACTAGTTTCGATTTAATTACCAGTTTAACGACGTTTTTGTCATCTTTAGATTTAGCACCGAAAAAGGGCCCCGGCATAGTGAGTTTACCCCCCTCGGAGATGAAGAGTTAAACTGATGCACATAACTTGTGCGGTACGTGGCAAAGCTTACAAATGGGTTTACCACAGAGGGGAAACTTGCGATCGCCTTTGAAAAAAAAAAAGCCAAAAATTAACAAATATTCTGCACTCTATATTCTTTTCCTCAAACTGACAAACTCACCTGGCTAGAGCCCCCTCCAGTTTCTCTCTCTCTTTGAGACAACGCAAGACTCTCCGGTCTGTCAGCTTCAGCATCCCAAAGGTTCGGATTATCTGTCGGAAACAGGTATTGGGAATAGCTTACCGGTCAGAAGCAGGGTTTGGTGAATATTTTATCCGTCAGAAACAGGGTTTGTGAATATCTTATCCGTCCCAAGTTGGGTTTGTGAATTTCTTATCTGTCAGAAGCAGGGTTTGTGAATATCTTTTCTGTCAGAAACAGGGTTTGTGAATATCTTATCTGTCGGAAACATGTATTGGGAATAGCTTATCGGTCAGAAGCAGGGTTTGTGAATATCTTATCTGTCGGAAACAGGTATTGGGAACAGCTTATCGGTCAGAAACAGGGTTTGTGCATATCTTATCTGTCGGAAACAGGTATTGGGAATAGCTTATCGGTCAGAAGCAGGGTTTGTGAATATCTTATCTGTCAGAAACAGGGTTTGTGAATATCTTATCTGTCAGAAGCAGAGTTTGTGAATATCTTATCTGTCGGAAGTAGGGTTTGAGAATATCTTATCTGTCAGAAACAGGGTTTGTGAATATCTTATCTGTCAGAAGTAGAGTTTGAGAATATCCTATTTGTCGGATGTAGAGTTTGAGAATATCTTATCTGTTGGAAGTAGAATTTGAGAATATCTCATCTGTTGGAAGTAGAGTTTAAGAATATCTTATCTGTCGGAAGAAGGGTTTTTCAATATCTTATCTGTCAGAAGCAGAGTTTGAGAATATTTTATCAGTCAGCAGTAGGGTTTGAGAATATCTTATCTGTCAGAAGAAGGGTTTGTGAATATTTTATCTGTCAGAAACAGGTAATGAGAATATATATCGAAAAGAAATATAAAGGGAAGATAATCATTTTTGGAAATTATTACGTGTTTGCTGGGTTATAGAACTTTATCAAAACTGATGCCTTTCCTCTCTACTATGTGTATTCATATGTGTCATGATGAGGTGGAATCAGGCGCTCATCAATTTTTAGGCATATATAGAGTTTTTCACATCATCTTAAAGCCTGTTCATTTGTCTCGCCTTTGATGAAAAAAATACCCATCCATCTTGAAGAGAAGACATTTGCAATTGAAGGAGGTGGGGGTCGCCTTGGGTCAGAAGAATCATTAGTGAAAAAAGAGACTTCCAAAACTTGAGTGTCCTTGGAAATGGAAAATATACATTTTTAGAGCCTTTATCAAAGTTTTTAAGTTAGTAGACCCCACATAGAAAGGTGTTTTTAAATGGACTTTAAAGGTGTTAAGCCTAAAAGAGAGAAACAAAGAGAGAGAAAGAGAGAGAGAGAGAGAGAGAGAGGGAGAGAGAGACACAGAAAAAAAGAGACAGACAGACAGACAGAGAGAGAGAAACACTCACCATAAGTCTGACGTAGTCACTAGAGTCCAGCTCCAACATCTCCAACAGTAGACGGATCAGTTTTTCACTCTTCATACCAAGCGTGCCCTGGTGGAGAAGAACAAATGTAAAAGTAACTGTTGATGTTTTACGCCCCCATCGACACTATTTAGATCGTTTGGTCGCTTTTAAGCACAAGGGGGCTATCCTGAAAAATGTTGTTTAAAGAAAATCGAAGTAAAGTTTTTGCCCCTTGTTCAGTTTCTTTGAAAGACAAGGAGAGTTTTCTCTTTAACCAAACAAATATACACACCAATGTAATCAAACTTCTTCTTCAGGTAGGGCAATGCCCACTTTTGGTGTAGGTCAAGATTTCTGGAAACCCACAAAATCTGGGTTAGCCTGTTTGTCCTTAAAAGCGACCATTTAAGAGGCAGACTGCTTCGAGCCTACCTGTCAGGGCCAACCTGGGCTGAGGAGAGAGACACAATGTCCCAGCTGGAAGACTGAGATACTCAACAATGGAAGCTCATTTGGAAAATGCTGTATCTTTACCTTAACCCTATCCGTACACCCTGGGGTCATTTTGTACCCCAAGGGTTGTATTCTTCACATTTAAGAATACTTCTAGTAGGATGATCTCTTTGAAACTTTCAGTATTTCTCAAAAAATCATTTAAACAGACTGCTATGCAAAGTGTACGGATCTGATTAATGAGTAAATTTCCTCTTTGGAAAGTGGTGGCACAGAGTTCCCCACGTCGTATGGATACGATAGTAAACCACGACGTACGTATAGAGTTAAAAGTAACAAAAATGCAGTCACATAGCACTCAAATTGCGTAAACTTACCGAAGCATCACACAATCACCTGGACTGGCCAAGACAATCCAAAAACAAATAGGACAAGGAGGGAGATGAAGAGGCAGACCGAGAGAATGATGGGAAGATATCATCATCGAAGAAGAGTGGACTGGCCATGATTGGAGCATCATACTGCTGCAAACTGCTGAGAATAGTGAGGTGTGGAAGAGGCTGGTCGTGAAATCTACAGTGGTGCCCCCAACGGTCAACAAGACTAAGGGATAGGCGATGGAACTGAAGCAACGCAACCGAAGCGGCAAGATGTGGTGGGTTTTTTTCGCCTGTGAAATAAACTTCTCCTAATAAGCCCACTTTGCTGTTTGCTTGTTTTAGTAAGAGTTTTACAGCGCTTGCAACTGCATAAAGTCATAATGAGCGCGCAAAGAAAACGTTGGTTCCATTCGTAACAGTACACTGCACAGCCTGATTCTGGTCAACACCTCTACTAAAATTCTAAAATACTAAAAATTTTATGTAATAAATTAAATTCTTAATTTAAAATAACTTTTTTAAATCACATGAAAATTTTTTTTAAATGTCATTCACAATTTTCCACGAAGGCCAATGGCCTTAATAAAATCAAGGATTCTATTGGGATCAACAATGGTAGACAGATCTTGCAATTTTTTTCATTTAAAATATTTTCTGGGCTGTAGAGATTAGATGCTTTGTTGTCGCACACAGGAGATGCAAGTTTGATTCCTATGTGGGGATCATATTTATAGAGTATCTCAGTCTTTCCGCGCTGAGATGCTGTATCCCTCTCAGCCTCGGTTGGCATTGACAGGGTGGGAAACCTGCCACATTAACCCTATCCGTACGCCCTGGGGTCATTTTGTACCCCTGGGGTTGTATTCTTCACATTTTACAATACTTCTAGTTCGAAGATCTCTTTGAAACTTTCAGTATTTCTCAAAAAATCATTTTGAAAGACTGCTATGCAAAGCGCACGCACCGGATTTACGAGTAAATTTCCTCTTTGGAAAGTAGTGGCACAGAGTTCCCCACGTCGCATGGATACGATAGTAAAACACAATGTACGGATAGGGTTAAGTGGTGGCAGAGAGTTCCCCACGTCGTATGGATACGATAGTAAAACACAACGGATAGGGTTAATGATCTAAATAATGTCAATGGGGGTGTAAAAATACCTACATTTTAAAAAAAACCTAGCGAAATTAACAAGTAACAGTCCTATTCCCTGTTTTATAGCAGCAATTTTAGACGAAAAAATAAGCACGCGTGAGCATTTTCATCATCAAAAAGACAGCTCTCAAGCTGCAAACTTGTATTACCCACCAACATGTTCGGAAAAAAAATGAAGATTTGATAACTGAGGATACAGTTGTAGAGCATGGAAGTATTTCTTTATAACAAATGAGGAAAACAAGATAAAAAACAATAATGTAGCATCCAGTTAGTAGACATTCCGACTTTTAAAAATTAAAATGACAACTGAACTCACCACAGATATGGCTGCCTGTGCTCTTGCGTCCTCCTCTGCATCTTCAAGTTTTCTGTAGCAAACACAAGAGGAACTCATTAGTTTGTAGACTTTGGCTGAAATCAACTTTAATTATTAAATATACATTCTGTAAAAAAGAAGACTTTTTTTTTCACCAGCTTCTGCAGCACAGAATATGCAAACATACCTGTAGCAATCTCTCTCTCTCTCTCTCTATCTCTGTCTGTTTGTCTGTCTCTCTCACTCTCTCTCCCACCCACACTTTCTCCCTTCCCTTCCTCTTTCTCCCTTCCTCCCTCTCTCGTCCCCCCTCCCTCTCTTTCTCTATCTGTCTTTGTGTTTCTCTCTCAGAAAACCGGAGGAGAAACATTCTAAACATGAACACCCACCATTCAACCATAGAACACTGCAGAGAAATGGTCACTTTTAAAGACAAGCGGGCTAACCCAGATTTCGGGGGTTTCCGGAGATCTTGACCTACACCAAAAGTCGGCCTTGCCCTACCTATAGGAGAAGTTTGGTTTCAATGGTGCGTATATTTGTTGGAATATAGAGAAAACTATCCTTGTCTTTTGAAGAAACTGAACAAGGAGCAAAAACTTTACCTTCAATTTTCTCAAAACAGCATTTTTTGATATAGCTCCCTTATGCTTAAAAGCAACCAAATATCGCAGACACAAAAAAAAAGAACATGTCCGAAACTCAACAAGTATAAGGAGACTTTGTACGATGAAAAGCAAAAAAAATTAACTCAAACCGATCCCTCTGACAAAAGGAATAAAATACAAGGAAGCCGCTAACATAATATTAAGTTTGACTCATTTTACGTACCAGATGATAGTGCCACATCTTATTTTTTCTTGAGCAGAAGCAAAAAAATAGAAAAGAAAAGAAAAAAAAGAGAAAGAAAGAAAAAAAAGAAAGAATGAAAAGGTGACTTGATCAAGGGTGCTGACTTACCTTTCCACTGTCTCGCAAGCCTTCACAAACATGCCCAGAGCAGTCAGAGCTTTTGCTGCAGACAGGCGCACCTCCTGAAAAAAACGTGCGTTGAGGTGGAGAATTTTTTTAAAGTCCATAATCACAGGACAGGTTCTTTTCCATGAACGAGTATGTTATTTATTGAGAATCAATGCCATATGCTCTTCTTTTAAAAAATATATCATTATGTGTCAACATAAACCTACTGTGTCAAATGTTTTCTCTCTATATATGTAAAGCGAGCAGACAAAATGAGTTACTTCTCGGATTCAAACCTTAAGGAAATAGATACATCACGCTTACAGGTGAAGTTTTTACAATTTATAAGTATGAAATAATAAAAGACAGGTTATAGTTAAAGAATATGGCATCGATAGAAAATCTACAAATTTGATCCTAATGTCGATTTTGGGCCAATATATCCATTTGTGGATTGCGAGAAGTAACTCATTTTGTCAGCACACCACACATATGTTTGTATTTTATTTACAGGACAATGGGACGAAAGGAAAAAAGCTACTACTTTAAAAAAATCATTTTAGAAAAAAACAACCCAAAAACAAGGAAACCGCAGAGCTTCATAAATGGATGTCTAAGAAGGATAGTGGGGATCAAGTGGTACGATTGAGTCACAAATGCTCAACTGTGGGAAAGAACAAGTTAAAGGCTAGTAAAGGAAGACATACAGGTGAAGAAATTGAAATGGATTGGGCACACCCTGAGGAGACTCCCGACAAGCATCATCAGACAGGCTTTGACGTGAAAACCACAAGGAAAACGTAAGAAAGAAAGACCAAAGATGACATAGAGGCGAGCGGTGCAGCGGAAATGAAAAAGGCGGGGACATCATGGAAACAGCTAGAAAAGGAAGCACAGGACAGGCTTCGCTGGAGTAATGTTGTTGATGGCCTATGCTCCACTGGGAGTTAAAAAGGGCAAGAGAGAGAGAGATGTGTAAAAACTCCAACACCCACAAATAGAAACAGAAATGAGCATGGGTCCAAAGAGTCTGGTATCTATAGAAGATCATGGCCTTGCAAAGTAAATGGATGCAGCACCGTTCCCTCACATGTCATTCATCCCACCCTGTCCTGACTTACCATGTTTGGGTCATCCCACAGTTTATTCTCAAGTAGCTTGTAGATTTCATCAGAGTTTGAGGAGATGCAAGCATGCTTTGGGCCTGCGAAGAAAGTAATTTTGTTTGAGCTTTGAACTGAAATTTACAGGAAAACTGATGAAAGATTTTGAAACCTGAGAATTTAAAGAAAATGGACAACCTGTGTAAATCTTTTCTTTTCAAAGGGACTGAGAAATGGCTGACACTGCTCACTATCCTGGCTAGCAAATAGTGAGTAAAAAAAAAAGGTTGTAAAAAAAAGGAAAAAAAAAAAACTTCATGAAGGGATTACCAGTAGTATTTTACTAATCTAATAATTCTGATTATATTATCGTAACGCTACATTTCTCTTTTGAGCAACTCGGCATTGACGGGAGACAGAGACATACCAAGTGCAATAAGGAGACGACAGGCCAGCGCTCTGAACTTCCACACGGGAGAGTCACACAGCAGCTCCAGGACGTGCTCCACGATGTTCTGATCGATGCAGTTCAGCTGCTTCACCAGGATCTCGAGGGCCTACAGGGAGGGAAGGTCAGGCCTTATATGTTCTGATTGATGCAGGGAGGGAAAGTCAGGTCATATATGTTCTGATTGATGCAGGGAGGGAAAGTCAGGTCTTATATGTTCTGATTGATGTAGTGAGGAGGGAAAGTCAGGTCTTATATGTTCTGACTGATGCAGGGAAGGAGGGAAAGTCAGGTCTTATATGTTCTGATTGATGTAGTGAGGAGGGAAAGTCAGGTCTTATATGTTCTGACTGATGCAGGGAAGGAGGGAAAGTCAGGTCTTATATGTTCTGATTGATGTAGTGAGGAGG